GCTGTACGTGGGACGTGGCCTCAGCATGGCTGGAGAAGCGGTGCGTCAGTGCGCACCCGGGATCCAAACCCGGGCCACCAGCAGCGGAGCGCACGCACTTAACCACTAAGCCACGGGGCCGGCCTAAGTAAATTATTAAAGGTAGAAGAATAGAAATGAAGATTTTCTTCACTATCAGTTTTATTTTTTCACTATGTATTAATTTTATTGATTTATTTATTTATTTTTGTGAGGAAGATCAGCCTTGAGCTAACATCTGCCTATCCTCCTCTTTTTGCTGAGGAGGACTGGCCCTGGGCTAACATCCGTGCCCATCTTCCTCCACTTTATATGGGACGCCGCCACAGCATGGCCTGACAAGCGGTGCATCGGTGTGCACCCGGGATCCGAACCCGGGCCCCCGCAGTGGAGCGCACACACTTAACTGCTCTGCCGCTGGGCCAGCCCCTGACTATGTATTAATTTTAAATTCAAGATGGTTTTTGTTTTTGTCTTTATTTTACTTATTTATTTGTTAATTTTTGGTGCACTCTACCCATGTACCAGCTGCACATATCTTTCACATGAAAAATAATTTTTGTGTAAGAAAAATTTTCAGGAATAAATCTGAAAGTCTCATATGGAACGCACTTGTATTCCTCTGTTTTCTCATGTGAGACTGCAGCAGCTTAAATGTTGAGAATGTGACTTATACATCTTTTTATTGCCTATAGTGCTTTAAACATAGAACACAGTGCAATAAGTAAATATTGGTTATTTGTTTTTTGGGGAGTTTTTTTGCTGAGAAAGATTTGCCCTGAGCTAATATCCGTTGCCAATCTTCCTCTTTTTGCTCGAGGAAGATTCACCCTGAGCTAACACCTGTGCCAGTCTTCCTCTGTTTTGTATATGGGTCGCTGTCACAGTATGGCCTTCGACGAGTGGTGTAGATCTGCACCTGGGAACTGAACTTGGGTCACTGAAGCAGAGTGCACCAAACTTAACCACTAGGCAACTGGGCCAGCCCCAATATTTGTTATTTGAATGAATAAGTAAAACTGCTGAAGGAGCCAGGGTCAGGGCTTGTATGAAATGACACTGGCCATGTAGTTAAGAAATCAGTTGGCACATGGATGACATAAAACTTGTATTAGAAGATTTGTCTTCTTTTAAGGTTCTTTTGAGAAAAGAATGAAGCTTTTCTTTCAAACGTATGTATTGGGCAGGAGTGTATTAACCCAGGTATCAAATGCAGGAGTGAATTTAACTAATGATATTGCAAAAGCCTTTTGGATTGATGGTCTACAGTTCTTGGTTTCAAGAAGCAAAGGCTGCCAAACACCCCCCTCAATATAGTACATTCTTCATGAACATAGCTGTTCATGGGGATCTCCTGCTTTTAAGGAGCTGGTCTGTATAATCTTCTTTAAAATTTCAGTTAACCACATAGGGCTTTTCAAATCTTCTTTTCTTCTCTACTTTTTTTTTTTTTTTTTGGTGAGGAAGATCAGCACTGAGCTAACATCTGATGCCAATCCTCCTCTTTTTGCTGAGGAAGATTGGCCCTGAGCTAACATCCGTGCCCATCTTCCTCTGCTTTATATGGGATGCTGCCACAGCATGGCTCTACAAGCAGTGCATCGGTGCAGGATCTGAACCGGTAAACCCCAGGCTGCTGCAGCGGAGCACGCGCACTTAACCGCTTGCGCCACCAGGCCAGCCCTCTATTTTTTTTTTTTGATAGCCTGGTTCATTTGGAGTTTATTAGACTTCAGTAGAGTCGACATTATTATTTCTTTTTTTTTTTGCCGAGGAAGATTCACCCTGAGCTAACATCTGTTGCCAATCTTCCTCTTTTTGCTTGAGAAAGATTCGCCCTGAGCTCACATCTGTGCCAGTCTTCCTCTGTTTTGTATGTGGGTTGCCGTCACAGCATGGCTGCCAATGGGTGGCGTAGGTCCACACCTGGGAACTGAACCCAGGCTGCTGAAGCAGAGCACGCTGAGCTTAACCACTAGGCCCGGGCCTGGCCCCGAGTCTACATTATTCTTAAAGACTGTATCTTTAAAGTATTGAGCTTTGAAGAAAAGAAAGGATCTGTGTGAGCATTCAAATTTGATTTAGGATTTTGCTTATAGAATGCTTGGTTCTCATTTTTAATGTATTCAACTCAAATTTTTAATAGAAGTTTGTAAAAATAAATCACTTTTTAAATAACCTGCTTTAAGGGGAAGGGGATAAATGATCATATTTAAGTTAGTTTATGCTATTAAATTTTGAAAATTATCTATTAAGAAATTAATTTTTAAAAATAGTTCATCTGTAAATTTGTATTCTTTCTTTATTAACAGTAAAGACTTTTTATTAGAAGTGTCTACATTGTACCTACAAATTAAATCCCATCATCATGAATTTCAAGAGACTATCCAGAGTCTAAAATTTGGGTAGTCCTGGAACTTGGCAACTGTTTTTTTAATTTTTTATTATTTTACACGAGCTTTATGCGACCCACTCACCACATGTGAACCCGTCTACAGGTATAAATGGGGAACCAGGAAGTACTGATATTGATAAGGTAGATCAGCACTTCCTGGTACTGAATCTTCAAATAATGACTTAGATATTCAGTATTTCTCCCCTGTGTTAGACCCTCTCTGCATCTATCATATGTCCTCAGCACTATGAGAGCTATATTTTACTGAGTACCCCAAACTAAAGGCTAAAGACCGTTATGTTGTTAAGCATTGCAATTTTATGGGCCATCGTTATTTCAAGGTTTTTGGTACATTGGACTTTGTTGAAACAGGATTTGACCTCTATTCAACTTGTATGCCCTGAACTGGTAGTATATATCCTATCAAACACATTCTTTCTTGAAATAAACATGCTAAAAATGTAATTTTTCAGAAGCAATGTATGTTTTCCTAGTAGCAAACTATATTTGAACCCATAAAGTAAACCTTGGAGAAAACAAGACCTAAATTTAAAACATACTGAACTTACATGAAATGATGGTGAAAGAATTCAGATACTTTGATTCTAGTGAAGCAGAACCAAGAAGTAATCTATTTCTGAATCATGAGGAATTGAAATTTGTAAAGAATATTCTGACATTAGTAGTTGAGAAATTAGGAATTTTCTTTCCCTGACTGTCTTAAAAATTGGAGAAATTGTTAAAATCTTTATTGCATCCTGACTCAAGAGTTTTCTGGTGATAGGCTTTGTTCCCAGGGTAGAAAAATCTTAGTGCAAATTATTATAATGTTGTGTGTTCATCTCTATCAATAGTTTAACAGAAAGTTTCAGATGATCATTTTGCACTCCATTGACTACCGCAGTTCTGGTTGATGTGGTTCAAACTAATCTAGATTCTGTTGTTCTGTCTGATTTATAAGAGATTAAAGTGATGAAAATTGGTAGGAAGTAGTAGCTTTTGAGATTATGTTTCACATACAAGGGCAGCAGTTTGCTTTAAAAAGATACATTGCAAGGAATAGATCTGTTCTTTATGGTTCTATGGAAGTATTCATGAAATAATATATATTTTTATAACCACTTGTCAAAAAAGTGGAGGAGGCTTCTACAGTGGTTAGGGTTCTCAGATCCTGTTCAACCTTCTGATACTGTGACGGAATAGAAAAGACTATCTAGCATGATTTTATTTGTAGGCATGAATTAGTATGCTGTGCTGTCTTTTCTGAGGACATGCATGGCACAAAGTCCTTCCTTTACTCATAAATAAATTGAGATGGTTAAAAAATTGGATCTGAAAACTGACTTTTCTAATCTATTCCAGAAAAGCCATCCTCCCCGCCCCCCAACTACTATAATTTGTTGATTATCATGAGAGGCTTTCTGCTACCAGCTGCTTTAATGGTTCTGAAATAGTTGCTTAAACTCTTTCTCCTTAGATTTTTAGATTGAGGGTTATTTATCCATTTTGGCTGGTCAGATAGGATTGCCTTTTGCTTCCAAACTAATAGAATTAAGTCAGTGTATTTTTTACTGGTTTTTATTTCCAGCTTAGCTATATTTCTTGCTTTTTCCTTTTTCCAAGTTCTCTCTATAGCTTTAGTAATATAGTAGTGTTACATTGTTGAGCTTTCATTCATTATTTAAATCTTTGCTGGTTAAAATATAGAGTAGGTTTGGTGACTCCATGAGTTGCAGTGGTACTTTGGGAATTTAAGGTGATTACTTCCTGCATTTTATTTCATTTCAGTAAAAATCCAAATAGAATCTTAGGAAGAACATTAAAGAAAGAGTTCGTTAAAGGACCTACAAGTAATATCTCAAATTTTTTATGGTTTCTTTAATATACTATGGATTTCTTTTTGCAAAGTCCAAGTATCTTGAGCTGTGATAAATTCTATATCTTTATATTACAGGGTTTTTTCCCTTAAAAGTAAAATCTTTGTAATCTTTTAATAGCCAGACGTTATAATCTTTGAAAAGTTTTATTTGTGCATTCCTTAGGTAATTGTGATCTTTTTCTTCTCTCCCTCTCTATTGTTTAGTCCAAAAGAAACTCAACCTTCAAAACCTGTAAAGAAAGAGAAGGAACAAAGGCCACGTCACTTACTCATGGACCTCCCTCTCCCTCCAGAGCTCCCTGGTGGGGATCCCTCTCCCCCAGACTCTCCAGAACCAAAGGCAATCACACCACCTCAGCAACCGTATAAAAAGAGACCAAAGTGAGTTTTTGGAGGGACTTACCCTTAATTACAGCTTTCTTCCTTACCTCTGGGCCCAAATCTCACACTTTCTTCTACTATCCACACTAGTAGGGTTGGGCCTAATCTATATCTTTCATTTTATTTTAATGGATAAAAGCCTATCTGCACTCACAGATACCCAGCTATGTTTTTTAGAAAAGCAATATTTTCCCAAATCTAAATATACTACGAACATTGATCCCATGGTATCTTTTGAGTTCATAATACTTACAATATTAAAGAAGAAAAAAGCCCTTTTATTCAAGGTGTGTCAACCATGTACACATTAGTGAAAAATTAATATATGTGCGATTTTTTTTTTTTTCTTCCTAAATCACATAAGTTGCCACGCTATGAATGTAGAAGAATCTGGGTTTGATGTTCTGATTGTTAGCATTCCTCTCTTGATAAAAGTAGTTACCATTTATTGATCAAGTACTATTGCCAAATTTTTATATTTTATTTTCATGATAACCCTATGATGTAGGGATTCTTTTCCCATTCTATAGTTGAGGAAGCCAATACTCGTGAGGTCAGAAAGTAAGCAGCAAATCTGTTATTTGATGTTATGTCTTCCTGAAGCAAAAAATCTGTCTTAGCCAGTGTAAGAGACTGTTTGAACTGTTTATTTCATAATCATTTGGTTACTCCCTTTTTAATAAAGAAATTCATAAAAGAGTCAGGAGCCACAGAAATTATTAAAGAATTCTGTTCTCTTCTTTGAGTAGACTTAACTTTTTAAAATAAATTTTTTTGTTTTTTATTTTTGTTTTGCCTTTTTTAGAATTTGTTGTCCTCGTTATGGAGAAAGAAGACAAACAGAAAGCGACTGGGGGAAACGCTGTGTGGACAAGTTTGACATTATTGGGATTATTGGAGAGGGAACCTATGGCCAAGTATATAAAGCCAAGGACAAAGATACAGGTAAATACTGCCACAAAATTCTAGATGTCAGAAGGTTAAAAATTTAGCAGTACTAATGTCTTAAGTGGGTTCAAAAGTAAAAGTAAATTTTGAGTTCTAATTTCATTTCCAAAAATTCCTAAATAGACTGAATTTTTCCAAAAGAATAACATAATTATTACTGGTTAGAAACCTTCCTCTTTGAGCCAGCCTTGGTGGCCTAGTGGTTAAAGTTGGGCGTGCTCTGCTTTGGTGGCCTGGGATTTGGTTCCCAGGTGCAGAACCACACCACTTATCTGTCAGTAGCCATGCTGTGGCAGCAGCTCACATAGAACTGGAAGGACTTAGCACTAGAATATACAACTATATACTGGAGCTTTAGGGAGGAAAAAAAATAATAATAAAAAAATAAAAAATAAATAAAAACCTTCCTTTTTTTTGTTGTCCATTGTAAATGTTTTATAATAAGCTTGCTGGGAATTTAAGAGAGAGTAGAATTAAAATTTGTAAATTACTCTTTGGTGAGAGGTTAGTCCTTGAAGATAAAGTGAACTAGTTGAATTATTGATATATTTTAATAATCCAAAATTTTTAGGCCTAACTGAGTATTGAATTAAAAATTTCAAATCTTAAAAAAAAGTCAAAGATAAGAAAGGGAATATAGGGATTTTATCTTTTTAGATACAAAAGTATCTAGCATATAGCATTAAAGTAGACATTGTCTGTCTTTCAGAGCAAGGGCATATATTGGCTGGTTCATGATGGTGGCCAAAAAATACTAATTGATGATGTAACAGTTTGAATTTGTTGTGACAGGGGAGCTGGTGGCCCTGAAGAAGGTGAGGCTAGATAATGAGAAAGAGGGCTTCCCAATCACAGCCATTCGTGAGATCAAAATCCTTCGTCAGCTAATCCACCGAAGTGTTGTTAACATGAAGGAAATTGTCACAGATAAACAAGATGCACTGGATTTCAAGAAGGACAAAGGTACTAGCAAAGAACCATATTTCTACAGGGTAGATTGGTACATCTTATTTTCTTTTCTTAGCTTGTGTGCCTGCTTGAATTTTTTTAACAGGTTGTAGTAAAGTCCAGTTTCTTTCTTGAATCTTTACCAGAATTAAGATGTTAGCAGATTGCTTTGTGCTGAACAGTGTTTATTTTATAAAATGTCTATTCTTCATCAATGTGCTGTTATACTTTTAGAAATCATTGTTAATCATTAAAATTAGAGTCTGCTGGAAATTAAAACCAATTTTTATCAGTTACTCTCATTTTTAAATCATTCTCTTTGGTTATTGTTTATATGCATCCATATTTTTACATAGTTTTGCACTGACACAGTTTAGAATTCAAAGCAGGTATTTCTAAAACAATCTTCAGGTTACATAGTGGTTTGTTTTCCTGGATTTGTAACTTTTGTCTCTGTTTGGGGGATAAAATTGTTTGTTGTTTCCACACTTATGTTTGAAGTAGTCTCTATATAACATCCAACCTACTTTTATAAAGCAAATCTGAAGGTTTAAAGATCGGCAACTGTGAAGAGATGGCATCTGTAAATATAATCTGGAGTATTAAGAGAGAATATGGTTGAAGTACATAAAATTAGGAAGGTAATGGATGAAGTTAAGCTGGACTTATTTACAGAGCCTCAAAGATATTAGCACTAGGGGAGTAATAGCTCTTGAGTTTGGTAGAAGTAGTTTTAAAGCAAGTAGAAGGAAGTTCTACTTATGCAACAGTATTAGATAAATTTATGCAAGTTAGATCTGAATGGAGTTAAGAATACTAGGTTTATTTCTGGGTATGCCCTTTTTCTTTTTTTTTTTTTTTTTTTTAAAGATTTTATTTATTTTTTGCCCCCAAAGCCCCAGTAGATAGTTGTATGTCACAGCCGCACACCCTTCCAGTTG